ATGCAAACAAACAAATACACTTCGGGCTTGGTTATGCTTTCAGACCATCCCTGAACAAAGGATGTGTAAAAACACACGCCTTCAAGACTGGCCTGGGGAGCCAGCACGCTTGCCCAGCAGGGGAAAATAATCTGCATTACTGCATGAGGTAGACTGGGTCCGTGTTAACAATCCCTTTCAAAATGAAGGTGCTGTCAGCTTGTTTAATTCAATTTTCTCTACCTTAATTTACTTTTGGAAATGAGCTAAATGAATGAATTGAATTATGGCTACTTTAACTCTGGAGGAGCATATCCACATAGGAGCTTACTGTGGTTTCACTAATCAGCTTTACGTTTACACCCTAAATGTATTTGGATTAGCTCTCCTGGGTATCCTCACGTAGATGTGCCTAGACGTACCCACCTGCTTTTCTCTTTCTTCCTTGGGCTTGCAGCTCTGAGGAAGCCAGGGCTCAGTAAGCAGATTTACAGCATCTGTGTTATTTCAAGCCTCACCCCTGTGTGGACTCTCCCTGTTTCCACAGAGCAGGGCAGTGCACTCCACTTCGAAAGCACGGAGAGCTGCTACGTGTTGGATGGGTTGACTTGGGTAATGTCTGGTGTACATTGCATGTTAATCCCAATGTCATATTTCTAATTTGAATTTAAGAGAGTCATTCTCTGCTAGCATCTCATCAGGTGAATGCAATGCATTATTCTCCTTAGAATATAGGAGGATGTGGGAAAAGAAGAAACCTCTTATCTTCTTTTCAGCTTTCTGCTTCAGGGTCAGTAAAGATACACAACTATGGCTGGGTCTGAGCCATGTGCATTACTTGTAATTATGACTACTTCTCCTCCCCCTGTGTGAAAATGTGGTCCCAGTTACAGGCAAATCATTCCTGCCTCCATGGGGTCTCCTTGAGAGGAAGGTGTGCCTCACTGCGGTGAGCTGGGGAGGGAGGGCAGGAACAGAGGGATGGAGGACAGGTAGCAGGATCCCCTCAGTGGCACAGGGAGAGACACCTGCAAACTCTCCCGAGGAGCAGGCTCAAATACGATGCCTTCTCTATAAGCAGCGTGGAGCAATCCCTGCATTCAGAAAAGTATGGACCCAGTGAGACTGCCAGGTAGCTTTGGGATTCCCCATGCACCAAGCCAGTGGGCTTTGCATGGCCCAGAAATCATAATCTGCTGTATGGGTGGCCATCTGGCAAATCTGTATCTGTGCTCGCTTTCTGGAAATAGGCACTGGTGATTGCTCAAAGAAAAAAAAAAAAAATCAAGCCTGCAGTAATGGCTGAGGATTTCTGACCTTTGCTCTAACATTGTAAATTTGTTTTTATAGCTTCTAATTGGCCTTGCTTTGGAGCACGCACATTATCTAACTGCCAGGGTACTGGCTGTCATTATCTGCTGGGCCATTTGATTTGTGTTTTTTACGTTTGAAACTTGTCAGACAATCCCAGAAAATACTGCGCTCTCCTTGCAGTGTCAAATACGGGCCCGGTTAATTGTGCATCCCTGAGAGCGAAGCGTTTGAAGTAATCAGGCACTGATTGTTTAGCTGAGATGGCTGCCCATCTGCAACGGAACCGCCGCTCCTCCGGATGGAGGGGAACGTGTAAAAATTAGATCAGCAGATACATGACAGCAACCAGATTTCTTGGTTTCAGGGATCAGAGGTTAGCCATTTCCCAGCCCTGATGATTCATTTTTGATCCCACTCACGTGGCTCGAATAACCTCGTTTTCTCCTCCCTTTGCAGTTTAAGCACAGAGTCTTCTTCTGTTTTGGCCCCCTTTAATATGCTAGCTGCTAAGTCCCTAATTAAAATCTGCCGTTCCCCACCTCAACATGCTTCACCAGGTGGGAGCTAAAGTCAAGAAATATGTGTGTGAAATAGCTCAAAATGCCAGAAGGGCACAAGTGTGCTTGGGGGCTGTGAGAGTCCTCACCTGCTCCGGGGCAGCGGCTTTGTAAACCTCAGCTCATCTAAAACATCAGCCAAGTTTGTCAGTCTGCTGATTCATTGTAAAACCTATAAGGCTTAAGTTTTCCTATCAATTAAAAATGCTGATAAAATTGTTTTAGAGGCGAACATGGGAAGTGTGTTTGGTGAAAACATTTTTGTGGCTTGTCTTGATGGGCTGAGAGAGCTAAAGCAAGCAACATCCCCATTTTGCAGAATGTGGAGAAGAAAAAAAAAAAAAGCATCAGTGGAAACACCAACACGCTAGGCCTCAATGTGAGCTATGCTTCTGCTGTATTTAGATAGAAGCAATTTTGCTGTTGAAATCAGAGGTTGGCATTTTTTCCCATGGGTTCCGTAACTCAAAATTATGTTGAGATCAAGCACGTAGTGGGTTTTTTTTTAGCAGTAAAGGTGAATGTATTCAGATTATTCAAGTGGTGATTTTTTGGATGTACAATTAGTTGACTGTGAGATGTGGTATAAATTTGGTATTGTAATTGCTATGCCTCTGAGATTTCAATTTGCAAAACAGTTTGCATGGCTGCAAGATTAACTGTTGTATGTGCGATGAGCTCGCAGCAGAGCTGCGATCTGATCATGACTGTCTGTCAATTGGCTGTGCATCCAAAAATCACTGCCACGAGAACCTGGTGTGAACAGAGTGCTTGATACTCATGATGCTTCCGTTCAGTGAATGCTTGGATGTCTCCCAAAAGAGGGCAGTGTCTAAAAACCCCACCTGTAAGTGCCGCTGGTTAAGTAAGGTTTGCTTTTTTGGTGTTACCTGGATGATGAAAAAGGAGGTATAAGACCCATTTTTCTCCTCATTGCATGTTTTTATGTTGCTCCTTCTCTTGCAGAGAGGAGACAGGTTGGGTTGCCTTTCTGGGAAGGAGGTTCAGCAGTGATGCTCTCGTGCTCTGTAGGAGTGGGCGCAGGGAAATCAGTGCCTCTGTAGGGGTGAGCCCTGCCTGGATGGTGCTGCTCCTCCATGGGGCATGGGCAGGCTGTCAGCAGTGACAGGGGCAGCCCCAGGGCAGGGGACGGGCTGACAGATGTGCCTCCCTGTGTTCTGCAGGATTCTCTGTTTGGTCCACAGCTGCTGCCGCGTTTGGGTCTCCAGCGTCATCTAGGAACTTGTCAATGTAATTATACACAGCACCAGAGAAAGTGCTTGTTCTCACTTCTCTGTGCCTCTCAGGTCTCCCTCCCAGGGTCCTAATTTATTTATTTTTGTCTCAGTGTTTATCTCTTCAAAATACCACTGTGCCGTAGGTTGGTGATCGAGCTGTGGAGATGCAGCGGATGCTGAACTGGTGGCAGCTGTGACAGCAGCGGAGAGGGGAGGGCTGGTGGAGCAAAGCCCCCTTAGCCTTGTGCCCCATCAGTCCCTACATTATTACAATTCTTTTCAAATGCATTTTTAAACCTCTTACTGCAAATAAAAGCAGAAGTACTAACAAACACATCTGCATTGGGGGAAGGCAGGCAGCAATGTGTCGCAGCAGCAGGAAGGTTCAGAGGCACCCAGTTCCCTGAGTGATTTGAGGTGGAGCGATTGGGGAACCTGGTTTCCATCATAGCTCTTTTCACTGAAGCGTTTCTGCTTCCGTACGGGTTTGTACAACACCAAGCACCAGCCGGGTTTGGGGCTCCAGCTGCTGCAGCAGGCTCAGATGAGGGGGTTAGGAGGGAGTCTCTCCTCTGAGTTAGGAGGGATGTCTCCTCTCCACTTGCCTCCTGCCATAGCAGCAGGGGTGAATGAACAAAACCAGCAGCACTGGGGGCTGCTGGCAGGGCCAGGAGCTGCTCTTTGGCTCCTGCACCCACCTCAGAGGCACCTTTGCAGCTCCGGTGTGACCTGACAGTGCTGCAAGGCAAAGGGCCTTAGCAGTTAGATGGACGGACAGACAGACAGGCTGAGGCTGCCCGCTTGTCTGTGCCTGTCATTGCTGCAAAACACAACTGGCAGGAGCCGGAGGGTGGCGAGAGAGCTGGGATGTGATACGGAGGATTTTAATTAAGGCCTTTAAGCAACGAGGCTATGTAAGTAAACAGAATAGAAATGCTACAGAATTAATGGATAATAAAGGCTAGAGATTTCCTTAAAGTAGCAAACATCCAGCGTGCACGCTGTAAACACACCCCAGCAGCACTTTGTCTGGGAAACCCGCAGTGATTGTTTCAGGAGCCAAGGCTGCACAGAGAAGGTGTCTGCTGCCCTGGACAAGCTGCGGGAAGCCACGGAGCTGTGCTGAGCTCAATCCTCAGCCCCAGAACTCCTGGGGCAGTGCTGCAAGAGTATTTTGTATTTCATGTAACTCTGCCCCTCAGAGGTCAGCAGTTAACCCCCAGTGCTCTGCTCAGACAGCAGCCCACCAGGGGCTGGAAGTGCCAGGCCTCAAACAACAGCAATGGCTGCATATTTCAATTGCCTTTAGATATTAGGATTTAATGGGCATGGTGAAACAGCCAGGCTCTTTGAGCACACTGGTTTAGATGCCAGCAGATTGGCATCACACGCGGTATGATGTGCTCCCCAGCCCTGTGGCAGGAGTCTGGGGACATCAAGGCCTTTGGGCTGTGTGCTGCCCTGGCAGTGGGGGCAGCGCAGAGGTGAGCACACCTGGGAACCCAGCTGTCCTGTTAATGGTATCTGCCCCAGGAGGAAGTATTCACACTGATACAAGGGGTGTTACTTCAGGAAAATGAAGTGAAATGTTTCAGGAGTGTGGGGGCTGCAGCGAGCTGTAGGAGCTTTAGCCTAAAGGGAAGCAGTGGGGCCCATCTCTTGGAGAGCTCAGAGCTGGTGCAAAGCCCTTGAAGTCTCCTGGAAGGACTAACCCTGTGCTGGCCAAAGGGACGTGGGCCCAGCTGGTCTTTAACCACCTCCAATTTCTCTCAAGTTGCCAAAGCCTTGTTGCAGACAGTGCTTCCCTGTGAGATTTACACATGGTGGCTCCTCGGAGCTCAGCCCGTGTGCGGCTAAACTGCTGTGGGAGCAGCACAGCATCTCACAACATCTCTTTCTCTTCCTTTGGCAGGAAAGAAAAGGAGCCGCTTTTTAAAGGCACTACCCCGCAGGGTCAAGGGACCAGCCACGTCAGCAGCAAGCTGGAGAAGAGGAGCCAGACACATCCAAAGGACCAGTCTCTCCCCACGCAATGAGAGGGGAGAAGAAGAAAGAGAGAAGAGGGCTGGTCTGTGGGGTGAGGAGGAGGAGTGAGGCTGGGGCTGGAACTGCTGATGTTTCTCTTTTTTTTTTTTTTCCCAGATAAGTATTTCTAAGATAACAAATAGTCCAAGGGGGAAAGAGGGAGAGGGAAATTAGCTAGAAATTTTACCATTGATTCTTTTTTATTTATAGATGGTAAATCAATTTCAGACTTTTTTTTTCCCCCTCATCTCTGGGAAAATAAAGAGTGACCCGATAGATTTAGAGAAATCATTTGCAGTGGCTGAAAAGCTATTTGTTACAATGAGAAAGCCTCCCCTTCCTCCACCAGCCTCTCCTGCTCTCTTTAAAGGGGTAATCCATACGATGAGCAAATGAGGGAGTCCTGGCTCCCCTGCTGCCCCGTGTGATGTCTCCTGTTTTAGTGTCAGGCTCAGAAGCTTTTATGCCAATTGCATGCAGTAGCCCAGTTAGCTTGCATTAAGAGAGCCTGATAAATAGCTTCTGGGAGTCAGGCAGGCGCTCCTCGATGTGCCGTTTATCATCCGCTGCATGGCTAGGTTTTTTGCTCTTCTATCAGATCATCTGAGGGAAGTGGTCATATGAGAAATGTTCCTGATGTCACCTGTCAGGCTGCAGGCTTGAAACTCACTGCAAGACCTGTCTAACAGGCAGAAGCCATGGTCCTCCAGCAATAACTGGTCGGGGTCTAGAAGGACTGGACTTCCCAAAAGATTTATGACTGAGACGGTGTCAGCTAGGGGTAGTGCTGAAAGGGATGAACCAATGATGTTGTGCTGCTGTTGTAAATCTCACGTGGAACGTCACAATCATCCCATTGCATGGACAGCAAGTGCTATGTCTGCTTGAAGCCACTGTCATCAAGCAGCCTTGTCTCCTGTCTTGTGTGACTTACTGGAAACATTTGTCAAAGATGTGGATTTGAAGTGCAGTGCAGTTTCTCAGACTGGAGAGTAAAAGCGTGTGACTGGGAGGGGGTTGGAAGTACCTCTCGGGATGAAAAGGGACAGTGTACTTAGAAGTACTGGTTTGGAGAAGAGAAGATAGTGAGACCCAGTGGCTAGGAAGGGAAAGGATGAGCCAGGCTGGGGTTGAAGAGGGATGTGTGAAAGACTGAATGAGCTCCCCTTCGTGTGGGGTGCTTTGGGGTGCTTTTGTGTGGGGTGGCCTTGAAAAAGTAGCAGTCCCAGACATTCCTTTCTCTAGTGAAAGACCAAGGTTGGTTACTTCTCTTTCCCAGGACTTGAGCTTTATGATCGAGGAGCAGGGACAGACTCAGCCAGGCCCTCGTCTTACAGGTATTACAAAGAGCTACCTGAGAGCAGCCTGGGTTGCATACATGCAGCCAGGAAGCCAGTAGGCCCTCAGATGTGCTCATCTGTCTTTGAATCCTGTGTCTGTACCATTGTCACGATGGATGAGGAAGGGCAAGCTACTCAGGATCTGACAAAACTTGAGCTGATTGAGTCTGTGCATTTGCCAGCTGTTTGCTGGGCTTTTGTTAGTTAAGTTTCTCTCTGATAAGGGGAATTTGGCTGAAAACAAGCAAGAGGATATCTCACCGAAAGGAGAATGATTTTAAACACCAAACAAACCTGATATTGTCAGTCTTTCAAGGTGAGGGGGTTAAACTGTGATCATTTTAGGTAGAATAAAATGCCCTCTTGTGATGAATTCCAAGGCATCCAAAAGGCACTGTGCTGGCTTTCTGTCTCCAAGAGGAGAGTAATGAATAGCAGTGACAGTACGATAATTAAAATGACCTCTTGGAGATATGGATTAGAAGGTATGCAGAGGGGGGATAAGTTCTCCTTTGAATTAATCTAGTGTTAATTTATGACTATCGTTGGGTTTTATAGGTTTTGAAGGGAAGACTTTCAAAGTTGGTTTACTGGGGGAGAAATGTTCCTTTTGTGCATTCATTGGGAAAACATTTGTAGAATTCTTTATTATTTATTTTTGAATGGTTCTATATATACATATGCATATATATAATGAGAATTGCAGGTATTTGCTTAGCAACTAAAGGATTTACTCTAGAATTATGAATAAAGTAATAAAAGCAGCTGTGGAATGTGTGTGTTATTTCACATCCATTTCTTCTTCCCTAATAGTCCCCAGAGTCACTTTGAAACCAAGAACAGGACAAGCTGATTCTGGGAAGCCCTTGGGCAGCCCTGCTATCAGGTGTCAGAGATTCCTGCCATCTGACTTGTCAGCCTTTTAAGTTCAGATTTAATAACGGGATTTTCCTGAAATCGCTGTCTCTGCTTCTTAATTGTCTCCTGTCACCCATATCTACTCCAGAGCCTGCAATTTTCAACTTTCAGTAGAGACCTAATGCAGAATCCTCATCTCTACCGGAGATGCTTCCCTTCTGCCGAGATATCCCAAGCTTCTAGTCGGATAGAAGGGACAGATTGGAGACAGTTACCCATATGGGAAATGATGACATCCCATTTGTCAACTCCCATGTTGGTAACCTTCTTCCCATCCTCTCCACCTGCCTAGCAATACCATAACATCCAAACATAAGGTTATCTGCCAAGAGCATCTGCCTTGCTCGTCAGCCGGGCAGCGTGCCCGTTCTGGAGCCCACCCTCCCCATTCTTGTTCCAGCACGTTGTGTTCAAAGTCTTTGCTCTCGCGTTTCACTCCTGTCTCAGTTTGTCTCCCACACCGTCTGGTCCGCTAGCAGCCCCAGCTGCCCAACCCATCTTTCCACCTCGACATCCCTACTGTGTCCCCTCTGAACCCTACAAAGTGAATCTATAGGATTTTCTCCAGAGACTCACCTCTGCTTTTGTGGTTCACCAGTAAAGCATGCTTCCTGAAAGCCCTCCCTGATCAGCTGTGGATGGGAGCCTTCACTGTTGGCTCACGTGATGAGGGCTTGCACATCCGTGGGGCAGAGCGTGTGATGTGCACCCACTATTTTACAAATGCTTGGGGACAATCATGGGAGGTGAAAGTATGAAGCATTCAGCGCCCAGTCTCTAGTTCAGTTTCCCCCACGTGAACACGGAGGTCCTTATCCGCCATCTGAGCAGACAGATCCCACTTCAGAGCCTTCTTCTAGCCTGCCAGCTGGCGTGGTTGGAGCCTCGTCTTCCCAGATAAGCAGATCTGTGTATCAGACGTAAGTAATGCACGTTGTACGCTCAACAAGTAATTCTTTCCTAGTCTCTCATGTCAAGTTCAAGGTAAGGCAATATCAGGGATTTTGAAAGTTTCAGATACCAATACACGGCCAAAATTGGGTGTCTGACTTGTCAGAAATGAATTACTTTCCAGAACAAATGTGTGTGTTTATCTGAGCCCACGTGGTGGGCTCTTCTTGTGGGGAGACCAAAGCCCTGTTGCACTGCCCTGCCTCTCCTGCTCTCTGCCTGGGGAGTTGGAGGGACCCTCCTTGGAGAGGAACAATGAGTTTACTTTTCTTTGCACAGGACTGGGGCATGAATATTAAAGTACTGAAATTAACTTGTTTTCTGTGCATTCTGCTCTCCTGACAAGAAAATCCTGCTACAAACCCCCACGCAGGCAGTCTAACTGCATTGAATTGGACCCTCGCTGTGAGGGGATTATATATTCTGATTGGGGCTGTGTTTGCAATTATTTTCTCTGCCACACCAAAGACCTTTACTGCAGAGCTGCAAACCAGTTATAGGAACATGAAATGCTTTGACTTCTTCACTAGGGAAACATTAATCCAATCACAGGTTATGTCCATTACAGACTATGGCAATATTGTATACAGGAATTCCCGGGAGAAGGTTCTACAAAAATTGGAATCTCTCTATAACCATGTTATGAGATTTACTGGTGTGGATAAAATGGGCAGAGTTAAAATTACCAGGCTGGCTATCTCTAAAAGACAGGTGAAGTCTGCTGGCTATCATTGCTTCATAATATTACAAATGGAAAAGCCCTGAAGTAATTGAATAACACATCTGCAGAAAAAACCTTGTGAACTGCTATAACCTGAAGATAGACTGCAAGGAAACAATGTATGTACAGCACCTGGTTAAAAGGAAAAAGATGCTTTCCTTACCTGGTGCAGGAAGATATCATAAATGTAGATACAGACTCTCTCTCTGGCTCCTGTATTATATGTTTGTGTGCTTTATAAATGTGTGTGTATGCGTGTGTGTCTATCTCCTTTTCACATAAACTAAGTTAAACCAGTTTCCTCTGCAGCCTGAAGCACAGTGCTGGATGGTAATGATTCATAAGCAGAGCTAACTGTGCCTCCTTTTGTACTGGAGGCTGCTAAAAACATTTGGCATGGCTGGTGAAGGAGCTGATTTTTGTCCCCTTAAAGTCTCTCTGTCCTCACACAGAAAGAGATTTCAAAGTACTTTGCAGGAGTTGATTAAGGTTTTTCCCTGTGCTTTAGTACCGGTATGTAGTGGGCCGTAGCGCCAGGTTAACAGCAGAGAGCAACTTCACGGGGTCTCTGCAAGGCTGGGGCTACACGGTGCTGTGTAAGTGTGAACCTTTCAGAGGGCGAGGATGGCCCACAGCCTGCTGACTTGCTGAGTACCTCTGTGTAAATACAACTGGGCCATCTTCAGGCATGGGAGAGCCTGGAAGGCTTCCTGCAGCCACAGGCTGCCATCCCAGCAGAGGGGACCATCATCTCAGCTCTTCCCTGGAGGTAAGGGTGCTGTGGCCTGCATGTCTGTGGTGCGTGAGAGGGGATTTCAGCCCAGACATGGTACATCCTTCTGATACATCCTCCCCTGGTTCCACCTGGGCCTGCAGGAGCCCCTCTCATCACTCATGTTCTGCCTCATCTGGTGCTCCGAGCAGAGATCCAAGGGCATCCGATGGGAGCTGCACCGCAGCAGTACCGGCAGCCAGGGGTTGTCAGAGCTGGTTAATTCAGGGAACTGGGATTTATTCCACATTTCCTGCGCCTCTCCATGGCAGGCTAACACACTCAGAAGGAAGATAATGCGTTTGAGAGAGCGAATCTGGAGGGGTTTGAATCCTCCTGTGATGGGAGCACAAGGGAGGCTGAGCTCATGGGCACTGATCAGTGATGTACTTTAAAAAGATTTGAAATCAGGGCCTCTTTTTTCATAAAATTGTTCATTAAAGAAGTTATTTATCATTAAAAACATTTGTTAAATATTAAAAAATATGTTAAAATGTTGCTTTTCCAGTAAGGATTGAACTTTACTCTCTGGAAATAGTGGAAATAGAAACCACCCAGCTCTAACTTAAGCAGCAGCATCAAGTGCCTGGGTGTATGAAGGAAGATTTTCTTACCAGCCAGTGTTTGGAAGATCAATAAAGAGCTACAGCAACTTTTGCCACTGGGGAAGAAGTCTTTCTCACAGTCAGAAGGGAGCCAATATCCTCCTGTGATCCCCCACTGCATGCACAAAATTATACTGAGGGTAAGGAGTCCCCTGTTCATTTTGCACATTTAGCGCTGTTACACTGGGTGCCTTCAGCCAAAGCGGCCTGAACAAATGCTGGGGATCTGTACACATTTCCCTTTGGTGCTAGGTGAAGGCAGGCAATTTTTTGGTTCCACTCCCTGGCTGTACCACGAAGACTACTGGGGATTTTTCTGCAGCATTTACGCCCCATTTCAAGGAAGAATGAAGGAATTTCTAGAGGTATCTTTTTTTTTTTTTTTTTTTTTTTTTTTTTTTTTTTTAAGGTCCTTTGTTACCCACATTATGGGATGCAGTTGGGAAATGCCACCTTACTGAGCTGTGCTGCAGTAAATGCAGAGGCTGCTGGCTCTTGTTCGCTTTGCTGAATGCTGAGTGCGGTCCTTGGTGGGGAAGTTATTTTCTGGCAAATCCGTGTTGTGCTCAGCGCTTTCATTTCTTCCTCCCCTGAGGCAGATTCCTTTCCCTCTTGGTTGGTCACAGCTCTGTCATACTCCCAAGGAGTCTGAGCAGCTGATCCTGAGTCACAAAGTGGAAAATACACAGTGTGTTTGGGCAGGCTTGATGAAGAAGTAGGAGGAAGAGGAGAGTAAGAAGGTGGAGAAGCACGATTTAACTTTAGCTCAGGAAGATGCTCAGAACAGAGGGATGCTGTTAGCACTGGAGCAGCCCTTGGAGAGCTTGCAGCTCAGCACTGAGGGTTGGGTGAAACCTTCCAGGTCAAGAATGGCTTTGCTTTTCTTCTAAATGAAGCCAGGACTTCACCCCGCAAATCTTAAGTGATCTTCAAATCTTGAATGCTCAGCCCTTCCATGGATGTAATGCTGCAAGATTTAGGATAAATAGCACAATATTCCTTTCTGTGATTCATCTCTACCGTTCAAAACCCCACAGTAAGCCTACCTCATACGAAAGTTGCTTTATACAGCTGCTTTTCCACGTGAGGAAACACTCATTTCTCACGTGGTGGCCCAAGACTCAGGCAGCTGAAGTGAGTTGCAGTAGGACAGAATTGGATCACCGAGCCAGCCAGGGAAGTGAACGAGACCCCATGCAGCCCAGCACCCAGCTGAGTGATGCCAATGGGTGCTTGATGAACACATCACAGATGCTCCCACAGCAGTGCTAGCAGAGGGTAAATGGAAACTAATAATGGCTGTTAAATTGAGTTGATTCACATGTCTCAGCCTTGAAAAAAATGGGGAGAAAGGTTTTGTCAAATTATTTTCTCTTCTGTCACTCTTATGTTGCTTGTTTGGTAAGTCCCTTTTTCCTGGACTGAGCTATCACTCAGCTATCCTGAGACATCCTGAACCACACATCGGAGGGTTTCTGACTGAAATGGATGTAAACACCACAGTCCCCAGGTAATTAGTTAGTTCCATGCCCAAGATACAATGTGGGATCTGTGAGACGATGCGGGTTTCGTGAGAAGTCGCACGGAGAAGAACCCCAGAAACCCCCATGACCCTCGCTGTGATCAGGAGCAGGGTGTGCACTTTCTGGGTCAATCGTGCTGAATTGAGAGCACCTCAGGTATAGTTTGAAAAAAAAAAAATGTTTTCATTGATTTAGAAAAATGGTGGCTAGCTGCACAGTGTGGGGCCAGAAGTGGAAACCCAAGCCCTGTTTTGTGTTAGAGTGCCATTTAGCATGGGATGTG